ACAATGACAGAAAAATCTAAATCATTGTCTTTCTGGCAATAAATTGTTACTTTTGGTAGTAAAATGTTTGTGACAGGATTATATCTCTATATACACCTCTGTCTCTCTCAGCCATGATCTGGGATGCTGTGTGAATGGGTCCATAATTGGCACAGTACCAAAACATTCTGCTGTACGTTGTTCTTTGTCCTGTAGATGATGATTTTCATTTCTTTTACACATTTGAGCAGTGTACATACAATGTATGACAAACTGAAAAGTTATATATATTCTAGTTTTTCAGGTTCTTTTTCAGACCTCTACACACAGAATTCCCCAATAACACAAATTAACTTTCATATACGTTGCTTTTTAAAACTTTGCTCTAGTCTGGAGTATTTTGTCTGAAAAGAGCATTTTCCACATGAAGGCACCGGGCACATGCATGGATTGCTTAGATGACAGTTAATACCAATTTTCCCTCCTCTTAGTAAATCCAGTAATAACTCGCCCACAGTGCTGTCAAGAGTCTGTGGTGTAGATGTAGACGTGTGAACCTGGTTGAGTTGAAGGAGCAAACCACGCCAAGCTCACTTTCAATAAGTAGAACCAAAAAGGTTCAGTTTTCATGTCCTAAACAAATGAGACAAAAACAGACGACACTGCTGTAGAAGGTGAGATTTTCAGTAGGTGTGCTCTCTTATGCCGGGCAAGTACAGACTGAAAATGACATATTTCAGATAATTCCATTTTACAGTTTTTGTCAAGTGAAATTGTTAGTTTGGTTGAATATTTTTGAATTATTATTATTTGGTAGTTTGAATGTGTTGAGTAGATCTGACGTTGCACAATAATATTAATAATAACAATGTGAAGTTTTGATTGGAGAACTGATTTAGAAGTTTGCTGTCAGAGAGTCAGGGATGTTTGGAGTAGCTGGTTTAGTGTTCGGCCACATGTTGACGAGTTTCAGATAAATCCTGTCTGTGACAGACATGCTGAGAGCTTATGTGGTCCTTACAGCTTTGTTCATCAGTGT